GGGTTCCTCGATGGTCTCCCATCCAAGGACTAACCAGGGCTGACCCTGCTTTGCTTCGGAAATCTGATGCGATTGCTCTAGCCTGGGCCACTTAGGACTAATGTTCCCTCTAAGCTGCGGAGTCTTGTGAGCAGAAATTCTACTTTGTGAGCTGCTGGCATTAAAGCTGTGAGCGAGCGATTTGGCTCCTGCATAAATTAGTCTGCTCGGGAGCCCTCCTTCCTGAGCTAAGAGAAAAATGTGTGAGCCGGAGGCTAGAAAACTGTGAGCTCGCTCACACTAACTCAGCTTAGAGGGAACTCTGCTTAGGACTCCCCCTCCTGAAATCCAGCAAGGCCTCTTTCTCCCGCTCTCTTAAAGAAGGCCCGCGGACGTACCTTCGGCAGCCGGTATTTGTCTCGGAAGTGGGTCCGCAGCGTTGCCCTCTCGGCTTTCCGTTGTGCAAACTGGGCATCTCGCTCCATTCTGCAGAGAACACAGAGGGGGGGGGGGGATGGTGGTTTATTAGTGAGGCAGACAAGGGTAACCGCCAGGAAGGCTGGCTACAGGGGCAGAGAAAGCACGGCGGTTTCTGATGTAGGTCATCAATCTCAGTGCCACATCCCCGCGTGTTACAGACGCTGATCAGGGTGGATTCCCCGAGGAGATCATCTTTCGCATGAACACATAGAAACACATGAAGCTGCCTTATTTCACATAAACACAAATAAACACATGCAGCTGAGAGCCAGTTTGGTGTAGTGGATAGGAGCCCGGACTCTAACCTGGGAGAACCGGGTTTGATTCCCCACTCCTCCACATGCAGCTGCTGGTGTGACCTTGGGTCAATCAAGTTATCTCAGAGCTGTTCTCAAGGGCAGTCCTCGAGAGAGCTCTCTCAGCCCCACCTAGCTCCCAGGCAGTGTTCCCTCTAAGCTGCGTTCGTGTGAGCCAGCTCACAGTTTTCTAGCCTCCAGCTCACACGTTTTTATCTTAGCTCAGGTAGGAGGGCTCCAGAGCAAACTAATTTATGGAGTAGCCAAGTCGCTCGCTCACATCTTTAATGGCGGGGGGCTCACAAAGTAGGATTTCTACAAGACTCCACAGCTTAGAGGGAGCATTGCTCCCAGGGTGCCTGTTGTGGAGAGGGGAAGGGAAAGGAGATTGTATGCCGTTCTGAGACTCCTTCGGGTAGTGAAGGGCGGGGTATAAATCCAATCTCTTCTTCTTCTTATACCAAATCAGACCTTGGTCCCTCAAAGTCTGGGGTCTCAAGCAGAGGTCTTTCCCATCACCTGATGCTTTTAACTGGAGATGCCAGGGATTGAACCTGGGACCTTCTGCATGCCAGGCAGATGCTCTACCACTGAACCACGGTCTCTCTCGGATCATTCATTTGGAATAACGGCCAGCTTCCATCCTGCACAGGGACTGTAAAGACAGTGCAGTCCTTAACAGTGTTATGACCTTCGAAGCCCTTTGAGTTCAAATAGACTTAGGAGAGTGTAACTCCTCTTCGGACTGCCCTGTCCAGGACATAGACCTGCATGCAGTGCATGGACAATCCCTCCTTTCTGTTACCACCTTCTGCAGTCACCTCCTATAGAGAACTTCATTCTCTGGTACCCGACATATAAGGTTATATTCCTTCTGTCTGCACTGTGACATTCAGAACAAACCGCGCCCAGCGGTTCCAAAACCACACTGGCTAATGTAGTTTGGGGATGCCCACTTCTCTTGCTGGAGGTGAGGGGAAAACTCTGTTCTTCTACCATATTTAAGCAAAAAAGCCACAGTGTGTTATAAGCAGGGGTCATTTCCTGCAGGAGCGCACAGGAGCAGAGCTCTGGCAGTAAAGAGCCCAGGGGGCGGGCACATGCAGCAAGCCCCGCCCCCTGCTCCCAGCAGCCCTCAGTCAGAGCAAGAAGCAGCCAGGTAAGTTGCAGAGCCCTCCCCCCAGCCCCCCGGTCCAAAACAGTCCAGTGGCACCTTTAAGGCCAAGTTTTATTCAGGTACAAGCTCTCCCTCCTCTCTGAGGGCAGATCTGCATGTCCCCCCCCCAAATAGCTAGCCATCCAAAACAGCCCAGTGGAGCCTGAGCAGTGGGGGTTGCCTTCTGACACACTTCCGGTGATGTCAGGGGGTGTGGCATATGCAAATGAGTTACGCTAATGAGTTATGCCAATGAGCTCCTACACCTCTTTTTCTACGAAATGACCCCTGGTAATAAGTAACTAGTCCACATGAAGACAGATCAAGATGGGTCACCATGTCAGATTGTAGCAGGAGAAAAGGGCAAGAGTCCAGTAGTACTTTAAAGACTGACAAAATTCGTGGCAGGGGAGGAGCTATCTGAAGAAGTGAGCTGTGACTCACAAAAGCAACCCTGCCACAAATTTTGTTAGTCTTTAAGATGCTCCGGGACTCTCTCTTTTCCACTAGTCCATATGAAGTAATTCTGGATATAGAGCCAATAGCTCTTCCTTCAGCCTGACAGTGAAGTGTCAGGTGACTGCAGGTGTTTGTTAGGGCCATTCATTCCTTTCCTCACTAAGAGACACAACCAATTCTGTATTAATATCGACTTCCTTCAAAGATTTTTCTGTTTTTTTCTCGTCAGGCTATGGTGGGCGCATTGCGGTTACTGTGCATTGCGGTTACTGTACTGTATCGTAAGGCTTTCAAGGCAAGAGACATTCAGAGGGGGTTTGCCATGGCCTTCCTCTGCATAGCAACGCTGCACTTCCTTGGTGGTCTCCAGTCCAAGTACTAACCAGGGCCAACCCTGCTTATCTTCTGACAAGATCAGGCTAGCCTGGGTTGTCCAGGTCAGGGCCGACAAACAGAGGTGGTTTGCCATGGCCTGCCTCTGCGTAGCAACCCTGGACTTCCTTGGTGGTCTCCAGTCCAAGTACTAACCAGGGCCAACCCTGCTTATCTTCTGACAAGATCAGGCTAGCCTGGGTTGTCCAGGTCAGGGCCCCAGGTGAGACTCTTTCTCCTCCTCCAAAACAGTTTGCAAGACTCAGTAGCTTTCCTTCACCACGCCTCTGAGTTCCATCCTCTGGCACTGCTGTGCAGTTTTTCTACAACTCCCTTATTTTTTTCTCACCTGCTGTCTCAGGGAACTTACGGGCAGTGTTTACGCCTCTCGTCTGATGACAGTCCTGTGAAGTAGATGTCAGGCAGCCCTGTCATAGACCCGGGATGTGGAGGGGTGCCCTCCCTTTGCTTCTCAGCTCTTTTGGGCTCATCAACAGTCTGCTATCTCATGTATGACCTTGTAGAGGTTCCAGCCGCAATTTACTCAGCTGGGAAAGTTAACGGCTTGCTTCCAAGATCCGATGAGATTGGGTTAGCCTAGTCCATGCAGGTAAAGACAATAATTAAGTGCCGTCAAGTCACAGCTGACTTATGGTGACCCTGGAGGGTTTTCAAGGCAAGAGACGTTCAGAGGTGGTTCTGTCATCGCCTGCCTCTGCATAGCAACCCTGGACTTCCTCGTTGGTCTCCCATCCAAATACTAACCAGGGTCGACCCTGCTTAGCTTCCGAGATCTGACGAGATTGGGCTAGTCTGGGCCATCCAGATCAGGGAAGACAAACAGAGGTGGTTTGCCCTTGCCCGCCTCTGCGTAGCAACCCTTGGACTTCCTTGTTGGTCTCCCATCGAAATACTAACCAGGGTCGACCCTGCTTAGCTTCCGAGATCAGATGAGATGTATTATTAAGAAAAAGGATAAGAAAGAGCTACGTTAAGAAAAACAGAAAACTAATCTTTATAACAAAAGGGAATTGCAATCAACCTCACAACATTCTTTCTTCCATAATCTGAAGTACATGGAAAGAAGAGGCCAGTCTCCTGCGGAAGGTTGGAGGTATTATTAAAATCTTGGTCATTTAACATCTATGGAAAGCAACCTGCATGTTTGTAAGGTGCCATCTGGTTGCAGCCGACCTATGCAACCCCATCGTTTTTTCCTAACCAGGGTCGACCGTGCTTAGCTTCCGAGATCAGATGAGATGTATTATTAAGAAAAAGGATAAGAAAGAACTACGTTAAGTAAAAAGGAAAACGAATCTTTATAACAAAAGGGAATTGCAATCAACCTCACAACATTCTTTCTTCCATAATCTGAAGTACATGGAAAGCCAGTCTCCTGGGGAAGGTTGGAGGTATTATTAAAATCTTGGTCATTTAACATCTATGGAAAGCAACCTGCATGTTTGTAAGGTGCCATCTGGTTGCAGCCGACCTATGCAACCCCATCGTTTTTTCAAGGTAAGAGATGGTCAGAGCTGATCTGCCATGGCCTGCCTCTGCGTAGCAACCCCCTGGAGCCTTGTGAGCAAAAATTCTACTTTGTGAGCTACTGGCATTAAAAGTTGTGAGTGAGCGATTGGGCTACTGCATCAGTTAGGTTGCTCTGGAGCCAAACTCCCTGAGCGGAGACAAAAATCTGTGAGCCGGAGGCTAAAAAACTGAGCTGGCTCACACTGACTCAGCTTAGAGGGAAACAGGGCCAGCCCCAGCTTATTTTGCACCCTAGGCGAGGATCCCTTCTGGCGCCCCCCCCCCCGTACGCCCACCAGGGCACCCGGAGAAGAAACTGACCAGTGGGGCACTCACAAGCCGTTGCTCCCCGGCACTGCTGCTGCTGCTGCTGCTGCAGCTGCCAGTCCCCAGCCATGAGGAAGAGGAGGAGGAAGAGGAGAAGCACTCCGCTGGGAAGCCAAGGGAGCAGGCAGGGAGAAGTTAGCCAGCCAAAGAGGCGGCGGGCGGGGGTGGGGGTCACCCGGATGCGGAAATGCGGGGCTTTTGGGGAGGGGGCAAGTGCAGTTTGGTGCCCCTAAGGGCCGGCGCGCTCTAGGCAAACGCCTAGTTTGCCTAGTGAGCGAGCCGGCCCTGGAGGGAACACTGATCCGGATAGTCCCTACTGTCCAGCTCAGGGCCTTAGTATTGCCTCCGACCGGCCAAATCCATCCTCTGTCTTTCCCCCCCCCACAACACAGTGTAAAAAGAATTCTCTACGCGATGGTCTCCAGCTAATAGATGGCTTTGAAAAGCCGGCAAGAGAATTCACAGCAGGCCGGTCTATCAGTCACCGTCACAGTTGCAAAAACTCTCCATGTGGGGAAGTGGGACACGTCTGAATTTTCATTACCAGAGCAGGTAACAGCAGGGGAAGGCTATTGTGGTCCTGCCCTTCTTGTGGGTTTCCCGCAGACGTGTCGTTTGCCCCGGTTGTAATAGAAGACTGAACCAGAAGTACCTTTGGTGTGATCTAGCACGGGAGTGTCTTACGTTCTTTCAACAGCTGCCTTTGCAGAATTTGATTCAAACCAAGAATCGGATTTTCAGGCGCCCAGTGTCATCCAACCGTTTGGATAACTGGTTTTCTTTAAAGAATAGTTAGGGCAGGCTCTTTTTATCATATGTGGTGGACTTGCGAAATATTGGACAGAGGTCCACGCTGAGACACAGAA